CAATTAGTCTTGTTTTCCATATTCAGGGCAGTTCTGTTTTTCAACATATTCACTAAACATGATGATAATGAAAATTAATATGGTTAGAAAGCAATTCAATAGCAAATGTTTATTGTTCATAATTGTTGTTCTCTGCCATAATTTTCATAAAACCTGTCAGCTCTGAAAACAAGGTTCAAGGAGCATGTGAGCTAGGAAGTAGGCAGGTGTGCCTGAATTATACAATAGATGTGCTCTTTCAAAATAACATGGAACTCATTTTTTAGCAAATTGAATTATATTTTTACTGCTCTTCGTGATTTTACTACTTCTCAGAATAAGTAAAACCTGATTATGAATCCAGATTTGATTCATATATGAACCCTGATATAAGGAGTGTTCTCTCACAGAAATTTTCCTGTGGATTTATTAATGTGAAAAGCTTAGCCAAGAAAAAAAAATGCTAGAACCCAATTTCTATAGTCCATCTTCACCTCATTTTAAGTATAAGAATATTTTTCTGTCTTTTTTTCAAAACTACCACAAATGGTCATTTTATCTATAGTTATATTTATCTAAGAATATATTTGCCTACAATGTACAAAATTGTCCATGCCATAGGAGGATGCAAAGATGAATCAGTCACAGATCTTTGTACCAGAGAGGGAACAGCATGGGAAGGGAGATGGAGTAGGATTTGTTAGACTCTCCCTTTTTCTAGTCTTAATCTCACATTGGCTTAATGGCACTTGGTGAGAGCAAATATAAGGAATAACAGTTAAGCAAATAAGGTGACATATATTCCGAGGATTCAGGAAAAACTACCACCTCAGGAGAATAAATTCTACCAACTTTTAGCTTGGGGTTTTCTTCCAGGAAGCTAGAATTTAAGCTTCATGAGGGCAAAGTCCTTGTCTATTCTGCTCACCACTCTATTCTTTGACCAGTTCTAGCACAGAGTAGCCACTAAATACATAGTTGCTGATTGAATTAAAACAAGTAGGATAAGTAAAAGCAACAGAAAGAAACAATGGCTAAAACCATATTATGGTAGAATCACAGATAAGCAACATTTAAGTAGTTGCCAAGATATATTATAAAGATTCTACTAATTTAAAACCCAAGTCTATCTCTTTGTAATCTTAACTGTTTTCCTTTTCCATAGCCACATCTAAATTTATCATCCAAAATTTCTCCAGGGTAGAGCTTCCTATACTGCATTTTAACTCGACTGGCCTCTGGTTTTTCTCCTTATATATTAAAAAGTGGTGCATGTGTAGTTCCAAATCTGTTAATGTTCTACTCTACCTGATCCAAACTAGCAATGGTATGACTTTTCTGGTTGCAAGAAAGCAAATTCATCTTCTTAACTCATACTTCTCAATGTCTTCTGAGAATTCATTTATTTAGAATATTTCATTTCTACTAATTAAAGTTAATTTACCTCCCTTACTCAATGTAACGGACTCAGATTTACTATTTTATCAGCTCTACCCTAAATTTCTAATATCTGTAATGTAAGGTGGACAACATGCCTCCCCTAAAAGTTGTAGCTATTAATATAAAATGATAGAGAATTTAAATTTGGGGAAATATTAAAGGTGACCTTTGAATTAAAGGAAGTCTTGTGTATCTGGCATGAGGAGAAGGACATTCCAGACAAACAGAACAGCCTGAACACAAGTGTAGCCATGGAGGAAAATGTGGTTCAACCTTCCTGGTAGATGTGTGTGTGTGGAAACACAAAAAATAAGACCATGGAGAGCCTAGTTTACTCCATAAGCAGAGGAATTATTTCATAGTACTGAAGATCTTAGATGATTACAAATGAGTAACGCTGACATGACAGCAATGACAGCTAACAGGCACTACAGGAAGGGAGGCCAGTTAGATGCTGTTGCCAATACTTGAGTTGAAATGTAACAAGAACTTAAATAAGCACAGTGGTAGTAGAAGGGAAGTTGCAAGATTTGATCTAAGAAAGAGGTGACAGGAACCAGCGACTATTTTGAGAAGAGATGGGTAGATAATGATGCTGAGTTTCTGAGCCTGGGAGAATAAGTGCTATGAGTGAAAAAAAATGGAGGAGGCTCAGATTTGGAAAAGGCATAGATGAATTATGTCCCAGGATAGAGCTTTAGAAACAGCACACCATGGAATAGTCGAAAGAACAATCTGAAAAGGTGCTGTTGGGCAGGTAAGAAGACAATCAAATTGTAGTATTGTGTCATGGGAGACAAGGAAGGAGAAATTTTTAATAAAAGTAAGTTTTAATTATTACAGGAGTTTCTAGGCATATTAGCACTGATGAAGGGTTTGCTGACTAGGCCTAAAAACTTTGGAGGGGAAAAAAAAAGATCCAGTAAAATAGCCAGTTAGGTAAATTTCTAGGAGTTAAAGACTCTGTGTAGAAGGACAAAAATTGTAAAATATATGTTACCATATAACTTAAATCAAGCAGTTTGCTAATAGATAAATTACATTATTTGTATCTGACAATACAGGATTATAGATATAAGCAAGATGTTAGACATAAACTTCCTTTTACGACCCAGAATATAATGCTATAAACAAAATGAGGTACCACATCTAAAAGCAGGATTTAAGTAGGAAACACTTGATATAAAAAGGGGCAGCATTTGAAGAGAAGGTTTTAGAGACTTGCTTTTGAGGACAACAGTTGTAGAAAGCTATCTGTTGACCTCACTCTTTACACTCTCTCACTCATCACACTCTCTCACTCATCATGTGACAGTGTTTGGTGGTAGCTAAAACTAGGTCACTTCATAAAGAACACTATGGACCAACAGGCAGACATTCATAACTGAGAAAGCCAAAGCAGCCTGTGTGTGCGTGTGGTAAAAAAAGAGAAAGAGAAGGGATTGTTTGAATATTAACTGTACTCCCACAGACAGTACAGCAGGGAATGTAGGAGTGTTTATCATAATCTAGATATAGACCCCTCAGAAAAGAGATTTGACTCAGAGTCATTTTATGTTCTGCCCAAGTGGTTTTTCTAGTCAGATGACCAAGGCCAGTTAATATTCCCCTCAGCTTGACTGCACTTCAGACAGGCCTCTTCCTGACTCTAGGCCTTTGACCTCACTTTTCTTAGAGCATTTAGTTTAGAAAACTTTCAATTATAAATTCTTTCTTTTGTCCCTTGAGATGTAAATCTTTTTGAAAGCTTTATGGCAGTTTTACAACCCAGGAATGTCTTTCTCCAGAACCTGGAGCCACCTCTTTCAAATGTAATCCATAAAGATGGGGTCCTATCTCCCATCCCTACAGAAGGGCAGGAGCCTAACTTCAATGGGTGCCTTGCTCCAAGTTATAAATTACCCCTTGCAATGAAGATATGAGAAAGCTTACATTTGGGGGGGGTAAGACCAATTAGCAAAACAGGTAACCTATGATCCCTTCATCTCAGCTCTTAAAAAGTCTACCACCTTTTGTTTCAGAAGAGTCGAGCAAAGACTGAATTCTGGCCTCTCTCCACTATTGCATTAGCCTTGAAAATGTGCGACTTTTTCTTTGACACAGGAAAGTGGTTTTCAACAGCAGGAGTCTGCATATAATGTGAGAAATCAGAGTGAGACCAAGTTAAAAGTGACAAACCCAAGGCAGGCATAGCACAAGTCCTACGAATTGCAGTTGGCAGAGGGTTTCTAAAGATTACACAAATCCTCATGAATTTGCCGGATTTAACAACTAAATATAACGGACACTCAGTTGAATTTGAATTTCAAATAAACAGCAAATAATTTTTTAGGCATAATTATGTCCTAAACATTGCATGAGATGTACTAAAAAAAAAATATTTGCTGTTTATTTGAAGTTGAAATTTGACTGAGCATCTATATTTTATCTGACATTCCTACCATGGGAGAAATAGACCATTGTAAATATCTATTCCTAGAGAGCAAGAGGCCTGCTTATAATATTAATCACCAGCTCTAATGGCTCTCTTTTCTTTGTAGTTCTCTCTCCTTTAAATGGCACATTCGCACCTTGTCTTCTCCCATTTGAAACTAGAAAGGTCCAAAACAACAGCCAGCCTGAAGGAGAGGTGGTAAGAAGGAAACCAGCTTCTTTCTGCCCCTCAAGACAGACCAGTATCAGGCATCCTGCAGGCCTTGACTGTGGACGGGGTAGGCAGAGTCTTATCTATGAGGGAAAGTATAAGTGTTGATTAATTTCTTAGACTGGACATGAGTTTTTCTAATTATTATGTAAATTAGAAAGTTTTCTAATAGGGATGGCCGAGCTTTCATCCAGAAGCAAAGAAAACTTCCCCATTGTGAGGGAGACAAAAAATCAAGTTGCATTTTCAATATCTTATATACTTGCTATATGTGCAAGTCTATAGATCTGAATATAGATATGACAACAAAATAAATACTTTTTAAAATTTATTTGCCTCAAGATGTTATGAGATTAATCAATTAAAAGGTTAAGAATTCTAAAAGAGGATCCCTAAAAATTATTAATAACCTTGCATATTACAGTAATGCTCTTATAAAATATTTTGTATATCAATGAAGATCACCAGGTATTAATGAATAATAATAAAAAGAATCTAACAACTTTCTAACATTTTTGTGTCACAGATTTTTAGGTGTAATTACAACAAATAAAGTTCATTGATTTTAAGGCTATAATTTGCTGTCCAGCCGTTTGTACTACAGAATATTTTAAGAATCTAATGAAAGGTACTATTTCACAGGTTTTTTTAATTACAATTTCAGTACATTTATTCACTCTTAAAGCTCATCCATGAACAAAAAATTAGATTTTTGCTTTGAGAGTTTTCCTCTGGATGGGTGGTTAATTATATGAGACAATGACTTTAAAATTTGTTGTAATGATAGATTTAAATTTTTTAAAGTCAAGCCTAAATAATATTTATAAATATTAGTTTTTATGCTTTTAAATGAATGATAACTATTAACATTATATTCTTATCTGCTTGATTAGCAAAATAATATATCAGATAGTAACATGGCCTATTTTTTTTTTAGATGCAGATTTAGTTTTTCCATCTTTCAATGGGAATTCCTATTTAGAGCTGCCTTTTTTTTACAACCCTAAATGAGTTGAAGTTTTTGCTGGAGAAGGAACATAAAAGAACTGTTGCCATCTACTTGACTAGAAAGATAAATGCTTTGAATGGAACCATTCTCTAATATTGAGTATTAAATGACCTCCTATGTGTAATGTTTTTTCTCAAATGATAATCTATTAAATCAATTAATTATTCATTTAAATATCATGGGGAAACTTTTCTAGCTTAATGCATGAAGCATGACAAAAAAAAAAAAATAATAAACAACCTTGGTTCCTTCTAGTTTTCTTTAAAAGTTTCTTTAATTTATGAGTCATTCAATGGAACATGACTTACAAACAGGATGTGAACCAGCAAGGAAAAATACAGCAAGCATATGAATTTGATGGCATACTGTATAGCTATAGCAGTAAAATATAAATGCTGCAAATGTTTCAGAGCATATTTTTATAATAATCACTAAATATAAATTGCATTCAATATTTGGCAACTTGGAAAAAGGCATTCCAAAGCTGGGATTCATTTGACAATTGGAGAAATTCCTATCACTCCTTTAGTATTATCTTGAAATTAGCTGGGGGTTTTTTTTTAAGTAGTATTAACAGTATTTATTTAAGGAAATGCCTTGCATCCAGGGTTTTCTACATCATGCAATATGCTCACAAGGATCTCTGTAATCAGAATTTATGGGCCTCTTCTACTGTTGAACATCACTAAAGTGTATTACTTGCAATATTCCAAATGTAACCATTTGTTTTGTTTCTTTCAAAATGGATGCTCAAGAGTTTTAGCAATTCTCTATGTTGGAGGTGTAATGTTTTTGGATTCATTATCTACTGCAGGGCAACCCATTATTTCCCAAATCATTTTCTATTCTCCTTTAAAGTATTTTGTGAAATTGATTCATTATTCTGTACTTTCTAAACAAAATTAAAACCTTTTTATTGTTTGACTTTGAGTAAAATGCCTAAAAGGAAGGTTTTTTTTTTTTTTTTGGAAACTGGGTACAATCAGAAGTTTTGAACATTAAGCTAAAACTGAGAATTTAGGTTATATTTTAGAAAGAAACTAACTTGTCAGAACTAGGCCAGCATTATTTATTTCTCAGGAATGTAAGCACCCATGTTTAAATGATGGCTTTAGAATGTCTGACTTATTTATGTTAAAAGAGAGAGAAGAAGTTTAAAAGAGGAAAACTTGTGTTTATATTCAAAACTTAAATGGTTGTAGACGACCATGAAATTTAGAGGTAATGGTGCATTGCAGGGGAAACAAAACAAAACCAAACAGAACAAAAGACACAAACATAATTTAAAGCCACAAAGCAAAATTATTTTTCTAGCTCTGCAATTTTTTAAGTCATACAGAATTGGAAGGCGTTTCCTTGTGGGAAGTGTGTTTTTACCAACTAAACAGCTCATAGCCAGAGAAGCAGCTGACCTCTGGGAATTCTCCTCCTCTGGGCCCTTCCTTCTGGCTCATGGCCATACCGCCACTCAATGTGCTCTCTTTTGAAGGCTATAGAAATACATGCCCAGCATATATATATATATATAAAATCTCCTGCTCACATTGACTCTTTAATTTAAACCAATAAAAAAACCCAAGATGATATTAGTGTCATAGGATTATTTTTGCCTTTCATATCCACTGACCTACCAAAAAGATTAAACTAGAAATTACCAGGAAGAAAACAGTGCCATTGTATGATTCCCTAACTCTGTCCTGTCGCATATAATTGTTGTTGTCACAGCACTGGATACATCAAGACTGTTTATTCATGGAAGTTTTAGAGCCTATGAATGGAGAAAATATTTTTGTCTGTAAAGCATTCTTTGTGTTCATTTTTAAAGCGGTCATTCAGTCCTACTGAGGGAATACCTCTGTGGTCTGTTTCATGGGGTTGCTGCTTTTACTCCTCTTGGAATTTGTCAAACTCATAGGAGCCTCACTACAGATGAACATAACGACTTTTGTGATTCAGTTAGACACCCGTATTTTATAAAAGGTATCCCTTAACTTGACTTAAGGGCTAATTTCTTTCCTCTTATGTGTAGGAGCAATTAAAAGTAGTGAGGAAATTAAAACAGATGTTTTACTTCAGAGTTTAGAGGTTGATTTTTGTCTGGGTTTTTCTGGTTTGTTTTATTTGTTTTATAGTTTTGCCATTTTTTTTTTCCTATTTTGGAACATTTCAATAAAAACAATTTCATTCTGCAAACATTTATTGAACATTGTTATTTTGTATCATCAAATATTAAAGAGAAAAAGATAGAGAAATAACAGGTTGTAAACCAATGTCAGGTTTGAATTATATTCCTAGTTCAAAACCGTAGATTTATCTTTTCTCAGTTTGCCGCACCAACTAATTGAAGTTGAAAAGGAACAAAAGGAACATAAAACTTGAATCCTTATGGGGTTATAATAAAAATCCTTAGAAAAGATAGTTTAAAAAAGAATGCTCTGTGGGAGAGAGACAGCTCTGAGAACAGCAGTCAAGATGAAAAGCAAGCTTTTTGAATCTGCCACTGAACGGATACAGAATTCTGGAACTCAGTCAAAGGAGTTCCTAATAGGTCACGGGAGAAGGGAAGAGACCACACAAAACTCTTTAGGTGCACTTTCAGAAAATGAGCTCTATTCGGCAAGCAGTATCAATCAGAAGGTTTCGTCATGGGATATATTACTATGCAGTTGAATCCATTCTGTGCTGCTTCTTTGAAAAGAAATAATCATGCCCTTTGGAAGTATGTGATCTTTGAGAATTAGGAGCAGACATCTGACCAAGTTACAGGAGGTAAATTACATGAGCAACTCCAGTGGGAGAATGGGTTTCAGAAGCAGTCTTTATATTATTTAATGTTTGTATTTAAGAAAGAAAGTAAAAGAAGGACTAGTCTTAGTTATGTATTCCAGTTAGGAATCGACAGAACAAGTAGGATTAATGGGCCCTCCCTTTTTGTGCATTTAGGTAGGGCTAAAATAAGAGGTTTCTGACATTGCTGAAGAAAATAAATTAAATCTAAAGAATCAAACATCTGCCCTTCTCTATAAAATAATTCTCAGCAGAATACACAATATCTTCATTTGCTGGATATGCCAAGGTCAATGAAATCTCATGGTATTTCCTGACATCATATGAAAAAGTATCTTTTCTTATAGAAAATGTTGGCTCTTGCAAATAGTAAAGGTATTAACATTAAGTGAAATAAGTCAGACAGAGAAAGGCAAGCACCATATGTTGTCACTTAGATGTGGAATCTAAAAAACAAGATAAATGAACAAAATTGAAACAGACTCATAGATAGAGAGAACAGACTGATGGTTGACAGGGGGAGGCGCCTTGGAGGCTTGGTAAAGAAGGTGAAGGGATTGAGACTTACAAACTGGTAGTTATAGAATAGTCAAGGGGATGTAAAGTACAGCATAGGGAATATAGCCAATAATATTATAATAACTATATATGGTGCCAGGTGGGTACTAGACATTTGGGGGGATCACTTTGTAAAGTATGTGATTGTCTAACCTATAATGAACAACTGAAACTAATACAAAATAATATTGAATATAAACTGTAATTGAAAAATAAAATTTTTTAAAAGTTTGCTCTGTTGGTGTAATCAATTTTGCAATGCACACCATAAAATTTGGGAGGTACCTTTGTCCCTTCTTACTAGCACCCAATGGTGCTTGAGCCAGATGAATATGGGAGGAACTGGGGTTGAAAACAAGGATGATGAAGTGATACATTGCCATTCATAGGCATGTAGAGACTACTTTTTGTTTTATCTTATCATTTTTATGAGAGCAAAAGCCAAATTTAGCACATTTTAATTGAGTGCCGAGAAAATGCACCACACTCTGCTAGGCACTGTGAAGAATACAAAGATGAATAAGAAATTGTGTGTATCCCGTTTCTCACCATTTAGCAGAGAGATACTATGAACATGATTCTATGAAAAAGGCGCTCGTGATAGGTCTTAAAATAAGAGTATTAATTAATAACTGGGCTGAGTAGAGATTCCTTACATCAGGAAATCTGTGCTTACGTGTCTTCACTAAATAGGAATCACCTCATAACCTAGACTTGTGTTTCACATCTATAGTCCACCAGCGTCCTCAATATTCCACCCTTGACTTGCATAGAGTAAGCACTTGATTAGAATAGTTCTTGAAGTTCTGCTTGTGAGGTACTCAATTTTGATGGTTGTGATGAAAAATTGGTAGGTATTGAGACTTTATTTCAGGTAATTATTCTGTTAAACATTGTTACACTTTCTTCCTCTGGTAAGTAGGGAGAAAAGCCTACAGATTTCAATGGTTTAGTCAAAAAGTAGCTTAAATCAAAGGTAATTTTTTCCTGGGTCTACTTGATCATGTGCAGAATAGGGGGTGGCACATTTTTTTCTGTAATGGCCAGAGAGTAAATAATTTTGCAGGCCATACAGTCTCTGTCATAGTGGTTCAACTCTGCCAAATATAGCATGAAAAGAGCCATAGGCAAAAGTAAATAAATGAAATGTGATCGTGTTTCAAAAAAAACTTTACTCACAAAACCAGACAATAGCAGAATTTGGCCTATGGGTGATAGTTTGCCAACCCTTGACTTAGAATGTTGTGATTCATTAAGCTTCTCCTGAAATAGAACAATCGTGTTAAGAATAGTTAGACCCTCTTGCTATGACTGAAATTTATAAAGAAATAAATCAGTGGGAGATACAACTCTACTTCTGATGTCATTAAAACAGAGAATGGCCTAATGAGGAGCAAGCTTGCTTCTGGTGGGCAGTGGCAGGCCCAAAAACAAACTCAGTCAGGGATGGAAATTGCTGCCATGACCATCTCAAGAAGAGTATAATCCAGTGATTAAAAAAACTACTCAAGCAGGGGGAACGCTGGGGGGGGGGGGGCGGTGCAGGCTGGAGGGGGATGAAGAGGAGAAAAAAGTGGGACAACTGTAATAGCATAATCAACAAAATATATTTTTTAAAAAAAGAAATCTACTCGAGCTGGACAACCCAGCTCTGCCTTTTGGACAAGTACCTATTGCATTGCACAGCTGCTAGATGGGGTGCACTACAGCGGGGAGCACCACCTGGGTCACTGCTCGTCCCAG